AAATGTTCCCCTTTCACAATATATATGCTGCATTCAGCGACTTCGAAGCAACTCATATCGTTTTTCGATATCATTAAGAGTTTAGGCGAGTCCTTCAAGTTATGCCTTATATCCTTACTTGTAATGTCACTCATGTGAAAGAAGTCGCGCTCCAAACATTTCCTCGATTGCTAGTTAATAGTATTAACTGATCAATGCCACGTGCATTGAAAAATAAAACTAGGGAATAGCTAAGGACAGATTTATTTCTCAACAGCAAATTGTTCATCTAAAAATTCAGAAACCAGAAATTTGAGTCCAGAATTCTTCAGTCCTGAAGTGGGAAACAGTTGTTGCACTTTTATTCTAAATCTGTGACACCAGCGATTTTCTATAAATATGCATTCATTTACACTGTTTTCTTCATCCGTAAACCATAATCCGTTTTAGTCTATAGTTTTGAAAATAAAATAACGAGATACTGTATATGTATAATAATAGTGGTGCCATTGGAACTAATGGATATATGTATCTTATGTAATTTGAACTATACGACAAAGTATTATCATATAATCAAATCACACTTGCTATTATTGGTTATTTTTGAAGGAATGAAGATGGCAAAGAGTTTGAATGGCGTAGTCGATGGAAAAGCGAAGCAATTCGTGTCATAATGATAAAAACTACGTTTTCGAATGTTGTATCGAACTTATACGTGTCTGTTTTCTTCGATTCTCTTTTAGATAGTTAAAAGTTTACTTTACCAAGAAGTCTCATTTGTCACTCCACATTCTATTATTCTGTGTTTCAAAATGTGGATAATTAAAAAGTGGATAATCAATACTATACACTGCACTTTAAGGAGCAGTTTACTCTCAGAATAACTTTTCATATGGCCGTCACCATCAGCCTCTGTCACTTTACTGTTGAAGGAAGACCTCTTGAAGTCTTTGTCATAAATTTTGCTAACTGCCATTTTCATCCATCTTGGTCCTCTAGTTTTCACCTGATCATGCTGTCGATTTGGAGGACTTCCTACAGGTCGTTTTGGAATACGGTCTCACGTCTCTTTGATCCGGCGGCCTTTGATTCTCCTTGCATCCTGTCTTATCAACTGTTATTTTACCTTCTTTACTCAGGCAATGATATCGCAGACTTTTATTTATGTTCGTGTCCATTCAGCCATCTTCCCATCTATTTTTGTCATGCCCAAACAGACATCTTTCCATGTTCCTTCTGCAGTGTGCAGTTTATGAATAACCTTCAAAGTTAGAGCAAATATTTTGCATCCATAAATTAGTGTAGAGAACGTAAACCCACTGAATTCTTACTGTATCAATCAAAGGGCAGTTTCAATCTTTCAAAGACACTCCATAACACTTCATTTCTTTTGGTGATTCATATGGTCGTTGCAAATATGAGCTGAACCAGCTACCTTAACTTTGCACGTTTCCGATGCCAAGTTCTTCGACTTCAACAGGTCGCACGGCCACGTATTTATGAATAAGTTCTGAGTCTTAATCAGGTGTGTTTTCAGCACTACTTATATGCTGGCGTCGTTCAGTTCTTGGACTTTTCTTTGGAGTTTTTATGGTGCCCTTGAGAGGATCAAAATGTCATCCTCAAACTGCAGGTTGATTAAGTGGTACTCACTGATGTATGTTCATTCCCTGATCTTCCCAACGAAGTGTCTTGAAAACCTGCTCTAGTGCTGCGGCGAATAACATCGCTGATGTGGCATCACCTTGTCGAACACCATTTTCTATTTTAAACTTGGCTGTAAGTTCATGAAGCATCACACTAACATTTGCATTCAAGTAGTTCATGAAGAT